TCAGTGCACACAGAAACCCACACACACGTGCCGGCTTCTCGTGACCCGATGCGACCGCTCAGTGAAAGTTAATCACCAATTATGCGCACAATTGTTAAATTTACAGTTGACTACCTAAGGGAAAGTTCTTCTCTGCTTCCATTTCTCGAGTTTCATTAAACTAGGCTAACGTATAACATGTTGCTTTTGAGTTGCAGCTGAGCTTTGTGAAGTGTCACCGTGGTTTCAGTTTACCTCAGGCTAGCCCACAGCCTGGGCGTGCGGGGGCGGCGGAGCTCGGTGTTGTTGCTCGAGCGCATGCGAACATCACCTTCTATCAGCACTGGCCACGGTCGCCTTAGTGTGTCCAAACCAATCTGGGATATGAATGAATAGTATGCATGCCTCTGACATCATGGAGTTTCCACTGCTGTGCTCGGCTCACCTCAGAGATAGCAGCTTTGATATTTCACACCACTGGCTCGCTTGCAGGGGTTCCCCACCCACCACCCCTCCTTACCATAGATGGACTCTGGAGAGATGCTGTTTTTGTGGATGGCAGTAATCTTAAAGCTCAAAGGTCAAATACCCAACTGCCTGTAAACAAGTTACATATACATTACATATATATATTATAAAAAAGCCATATATTTTTGTTTTAAAACAGGCTCTAAATTTGAGTCTGAATCCATGTTGTTGCAGCATTTGCATTGGGAAAAAATTCTTTTGAGACTTTTTGTAATCAACAAGGTTTAGATTTACCAGTGCACGTTCTGCTGTAACAGCATTATGTGCAGGTTTGCGATAAATGAGGTGCACACCTGTGTAGAAACCTGTGGAAAATAACAGAACTGTTGCCAGGTGTTAATCATGCTTGTAGTCTGGTTCAGAAATGTTATTCCTGGCACTTTTTTCATTTTTGGAAAGCCAACTGTGTACAAGCAGAGGAATTCAGTGTTATTCCAGTGGATTACCTCTGAGGTTTCCTTTCCTGTGGTGTATCTCCAAGTCGCGTGTTATGTTGTTTATTGAATATCAAAGGCTTTGTGAAGTCAAACAGGTGACCTGATACCATTGTTGTCTGATAGAAGGAACCACCTCCATGTTTGGGCAACATTTCTCTCAGTGCTGGCAGCTCGTTTACTTCCTGTCTTATTTAAAAAAAAAACCACACACACAAACTTGTTTGTGTTGGATTACAGTTTATAAATGGATGCAGAAAAGCAAACAGTGGATGCACTTGAAGCAACAAACTGTTTATATATGTTGCAAACAGATGACTGTTGTACGCCACTGTTTGTTTTTGTATTTTGGATGGAATGGCATGAAACATTTTAAGTGCGGGAGGACTCAGATTTTCCATCACACACATGCACACACAGGAGGAGGTGAAATGACACCTCTAACTTTAGTCTCCCAGCCCGCCACTCTGAATAATCCAGTTAGGATGTACTCTCTGGCTATCAGGAGGTTTTAGCTGCCTCGCTTCCAGCCAGAGGAAAAACAGACTTCAGGCTGCAGACTGACCTAAACTGGCCTGATGTCCTAAATGAACCTTTGTCACATAAACACACATAATACATGCACTCGCTAACCCCACCAACATCCTAATCTACTATTTCTTAACATTTTCAGGCTTGCCACCCACATCAAGAGAGCCATCATACTTTTTTTTTTAATGAATGATTCTGCAGTAAGAAGGATTTGAGATGTTTTGTGAAATAAAGTTCTGCAATGTGTTCTTTTAATATTTGCATTTATTAATATGAGAACCAACAGCCTGAACTCTAGTTCAAGCCCGTAACTTTAAATGGTTTATTTACAGCCTCCCTACACACGGAATATAATAAAGTGGCAGTAATCCAGTCAGATTTCTCTTCTTTGGCTGTGTGTCTGCAGGCAGATCGAAGAGTCTGTGTGTTTGTGTAAAGGTCGGAGGTTGCAGGGGGTACCGGCTGATGTCACGGACCCAAAAAGAAAGTAGTGTCTTTGATGACAGCCTGGTAACTATAAATGTCGTGACAACCCGTAGGAATGAGCCGTCATGTGACACCCCATCTTTGGAGCCAAGTGCATGGAAAAAGAAAACATGCACACACGGCTTTGCCTTTGGGGAGACCCCTTTGGAAACAATGTCTGGCTTGCTTGAGGATTTGAGAGGGTGAGCAGAAGTGATTTGATCTACTCAGTAAAACACCAAATGCGGGCATGAAGCGAGGCTTTGTTTTTACTGCATAGTTATTGTGAAATTAGCCGTAATGTTTCCCAAATGTTGAAGCCACTTTTGTTTGTGCCTTCTCCGGCTATGTTTTTTTTATCAGGTTGCTTTTCTTCATGTAGTCTGTTTTCCAAAGTTGTTGCCTGTTGCTCTTGGCAGAGGCAAAGGGAGATTAAACTTATCTAAAATAACCTGTTGAGGCTGCGTAATTCAACTCTGGCACCTCCTCTCTTATTCCAGTCATCCATAAAGAAAGTGTTCAACTATTTGACTCTGACCAGCGGTGTTGACATATTTTCCTCCCTCGTCCTGAAGCCAACTTCTCGGGGAGAGCCATCAGGGACTACATGGTTCCAGCTCTCTGATATCTGGAACACACACTCTCACGTCTTTCCCTGTGAATGCACACTGATCACAGGTCAGGTCTTTGGCAGTAGTTTCCAATCAGGGGTGCAAGTACTTCAGGGCTACTAAGGCAATAGTCAGGCAGCAAGAATAGCTCAACTGGTAGAATGAATTTATTATTAGTACTGAGAAAACTGACTAAAACAGAACAAGCCTTGCAAGAACAAGCTTCTGGACTTTCACTGGGCCATTATATTGACAACACTGATTATTTTCTTTTTTTGGCATTCTGTTGTAGATTTGCTCCTGTTGCATGACCCAGTTTTGACTGAGCTGTCCCAGCTGTCAGACAGACAGCGTCACATTAGACTCTAGAATACTTTGGTATACAGAGGTCTTTATGGGCAACAACTCAATGATTTCAAGGTGCAGTGGCTGCAAATTGTCACCCCTCCACCACTTGGTTTTAGGCGTTTGTGCTGAAATGCTTGTGCTCCACTTTGGTCCAAAGGTCATTGTTCCAGAAATCTTGTGGTTTTGTTCAGACCCAACTTTGTAAACCTGTCTTGTTCTTTTTAGACAGAAGAGGCTTTCTATCCGGGACCCTTCCAAACAAGCCATATTTGTTCAGTCTTTTTCTAATTGTGTTGTTACAAACGTTAACATGCTAACTGAGAGCTCCACGGAGTGAGATGTAGCTTTTGTTTTCTCAGTTTCTCTGAACATTTCACGATCTGACCTTGGGACGAATTTGGTGGGACGTCCTCTCCTGGGAACACTCGCAGCTGTCTTGAATGTTTCCCACTTGCGAATAGTGTTTCTCACTTTATAACCCTTCCCATATTGATGGGCAGCAACAGTTGCTACTCCAAGTTTATTGCTGACGTCTTTCATCCTTGGCATTGTGTTAACACTTACCTGAGTGCAGCCGGTGCTTTCACAGGCTGATGGACAATTAACCAAGTACCCACTTAATTCCTGTGGAAGCAGTACTGATGTAGTTATTTTTTCACCCATTGCTTCGGCGTTAAACAAATAATGCCATGATGTAATATGTCATGTGATTTTGTAGTGTTGAAATTTTATTTGCCTAATTTTAGGGCCTACTTATATCCTGATATTCAAAACCTAAATTGAAAGAGCGTGGACTTTATTACTAAGCAGCAGGACAAGTCTTCTGTTAAAACTTTTAACTAATCACAACTGAATCATAGTAAGCTGAAAGTTGTCCAAACCCAAACATTTGATCATTTTTTAGTCCATCTTACAGCGCTGAGGGGGACATGAGATGAAAAAGTTTGGGTACTGCTGATTTATATGAATTTAGCACTTTATTTGGTGCAGGAATTTTCTTTCATTCCTGGGATTTAATGTAATTCAGTATAATATTCTTGCTATTTCAATTCTGACTTTATTGCCTTGGGTTTCACATCTTCTGTCTTCATGTTGTTTGTGGCTGTCAGTTTGTGAAAATGAATTCCAGCTACAAATATACAACATCTGCACATGTACTGCACACATACACACCGAAATAAATGGCAAATGTGTTTTTAGTGTGAGGCTGCAGACACTTGCACACACACTCAGACACACATGGGGTTTTTTCAGGCTGGTAATTAGTAGAAGCAGTAAGGTGATAACAAGCGCCAGCCACACGTTTGCAACCGAGGTGTCGATGCCAACATGCTGCTGGATATCACAGCCCCGCACTTTATCACACTTTCCTCCCTCCCCAGACGGATAACTCTTAAATACAGATGCATGCTCATGCGTGCTTTAAAAAGTGCAAGAAAATATGATCATGCTTGACACATCTTCAGCTTTACAGCAAACAGAACATGTGCATCAACATGGTGTATGTCCCCCACAAGTCCTCCTCCTACTCTTTTCTTTCCCTCCTTTCCTATCATCTCCACCCACTGCTCCTCCTCCGACTGCATGATTTGAGTCATATGATTCAAAAAGGTGAGAATCTACATTCAGCAGATTATTTTCATCTTGTTACCCTTACATTTCTTTTGTCCTCTTTCTTTGGATGCTCTGGTTTCGTGCACGTGGTGCTTGGTGACAAAGTTGAAACCTTGTAGCTGGCGATGATCTCATGAGTCTGACATCACTTCAGCATAAGCTGCACCCTCTGAACGCACATTTACATGACCGCCCTGAAGTGTGAGGTTTCATACTAAATAAGTTTGATGAAACAGAGACTTTGTGTGTGTCTCTTGTGCGGTGCCCTGGAAGGCTTTATGTAATTACATCATGCTATAGTGATCATGTGATTGTATAACTGCAACTTGAAAAATATATGGGTCATTTGAAACATCGGATTCAGACTTATCCTTTTATGTTCCCTTCTCCCCCGTGCCATCATCTCTCCCCTCCTGACCTTTCATCTCTTGTATGTGTCTTGCACTTTTCACTTGGCACTGGCTCACTTTGTTTTATTGCTCTTCCACAGGTTGCGGAAACAGCAGTATGAGTGGTGACATGTACAGCGCTGGCTATCATACTATTGCCAACATAGATTATTCATCTGTGTGCATCAGGACAATGAGCGCCAGGTACAGTCACTGCCCAGGTATGACATGGCATCAGATGGACGTGCGTCAGCTCTCCTTCCCGGATTCCTCCTTTGATGTCATACTAGAGAAGGCCACCCTGGATGCCATCATGGTGAATGAGAAAACGCCTTGGGAGGTTTCATCTCAAACTGCTTGTTCCATTCACCAAGCACTCACAGAGGTATTTTTGAAAAACTTTTCCTTCCAGAGGTTCGATATTTTGTGGGTTGAGGTTCTCTTGTTACGTCGGATTACTCACCAAAAATGTTTCTGCTTTCTGTTTGTGGGAACCTGAGAGTTTTTGTGAAAGCACATTTGTTTTCCCACCTGGTGCCTACTGAGAACTAGGGCTGCCACGATTTGTCGACTAGTCACGATTACGTCGACTATCAAAATCGTCGACGACTGATTTAATAGTCGACGCGTCGTTTGAAGCTTTGTACGATCACAAAAGACGCAGGAATAAGTGGCAGGATTTAAGAGTGTAATAACGGACTGAAACAGAAGATGGCAGCATTGCATGTACAAGGATGTCAGCTACCGTTAAACCCCGAAGAAGAAGAAGAAGCAGCTGTGTCCCAGAATTCATAGCGCGGCCCAGCGCAGTTTCCAACAATGGCGGCAGCTGGTTAGTTTTAATGTTACTCTTATTATTCTTTCTGGGTCACAAAATAAACGTTTAACATATTTTCAGGCGAGAATGTAGCTGTGTAAACCTCAAATATCTGCTCAGTTTATCAGGACACCACATATTTTCAAAAGCGCTCCGACGTTTTCGGAGACGTCTGTTACCCACTAGCTCGTTAGCGAGCCGGGGGCTAGGTCACTAGCGCCGTGAGAACACCGGACTCCCCGCAAATCGTTTTCAAACCCACCGCCGTCTTTCGCTACTCAGGTTAAATATATATAAGTCACTTAGATAACTTAAAATGTTATTGTTTGGCTTTTTTTTTAGTATTTTATTTGTTCCTGAGTAAATCAGTTTGGCTGAGATTAAAGTTATAGTTTTTACACAGCTGAATAAACGTCAAGCAGACAGCTGATTATCAGAAGTGTGAGATGCTCCAGAATATACTCCAGTGTCCTGTTATATTTTAGATAGCAAGGAGTTTATTAAACTTCACCGAAACAATCCACAAATTTCATTAAAATTTAATAAACTATCATCTTGTCTTTATTTTTAGTTAGCACATACCTTAAACACTTAAAGCTGTAAGCTAATGATAGTTATATAAGAGCAGATGCTGCTGGTGCAATAAGCTGTAGTTTTGCGTCCAATGGATGATGATCTGATTAGTCGACTAATCGCAAAAATAATCGGTGACTAGTCGACTATCAAAATAATCGTTTGTGGCAGCCCTACTGAGAACTCACTACCACTCACCACTGCAGCACTAGTTTATGGTACAGTCCAACCATCACGTGGTAATTTGCTTTCAGTTACAGCAGGTTTTTTTCAAACTTTAGAAAACATGATAACAGGAACAAAACAAGGATCTGTAAATGAAAACCATCAACATACTCAGATTTTTCAGATAATTTACAGATTTATTTACAGTTGTAAACAATAACCCATCAGCCTTTTACTGCTGATGGGTTATTGATGGGTGCAATTCAAACCAGAGACGCAAATCCCTTTTGAGGTTAAGTCAGGAAGGGCATCCTGGTTTAAAACTGCCAAATCAGACACATGGAGCTACCCACAGTGGTAATCAATTGTGACAAGGAAGCAGCATTCATTCATTCATTCATTCATTCGAAATATCATGGTTTCAGAAAAATCATCAATTTGAAACAATGTATGTTTTCTGTAAGTTAATTAAGGTCAAAATATTATCATTAGTAGTATTAATGTTGACATTTGTAGCTGATGCATGGCAAAGTTTAAAAAATCAAATGTAAATACGTCTAAACTGTATATTTGTCCGTTTTTACAGAGCTGTCCTTTGCCTGTTTTGCAGGCCACTAGTGTCGCTACACACCTATGATGGTTTGAGAGCTGTTTTATGGCGAGCAGCAGTACGGTTTATTTGTAAATGACTTTCTGACAGTGAAATTAGTGGCACTTTACATTTCCACTCCACAGCCCATCAGCGTAGTGGCAAGAAGCTGAGTGCCCTTCAGCTGCTCGCCTAAGCACTAACTGCCACTGTGTCAATGTGACAATGACAATGTTTTGGTCATTTGCTGTGCTTGACCTTCGCATATTAAGACAAGAGAGCTCCACTATTAACTGAAGTAGGAAACTTGTGATTTCTGAATGGGGAAGAATTACTCATGATGTACTTACTGAGCATTTGAAGAACGGCTAAGTAAGGTATAATTCATTATTAATGTTAAAATGACAGGTGTATAGAGTCTTACGTCTAACACACAGCCTATAATTACAGTAAATGTTACAGTGGAAAAGGTCACAGAGTGTGACTCATTTTAATGGAAGCAGCTTGAGAGCACTAAGTAAAAGTGATGTTAATGCAGATTTGAAACATTTGCATTTTCTTGTGCAAAACCTTAAAATTACACACAAATCAACAATTTATAAATGAAAGTAGTATGAAGCTTTTCCGGTGACTATTACCATTAATATTTGCAGTTAATATCAGGGTCATACGTAGGCTGCTGATTTGAATTAAGCAACAATAAACGATAACTATTTTGACCGACATTAAAGTCATGTAGATTTACGTTTTGTAAACTATGATTATTTTACTGGACATAAATCAAATATCTAAGATTAAATGTAAACTCAAGAGTGACTCAGAATGAACTATATTACTGTCTGTAGGTGTGAATATTAAAAAACCAAGTGAGACAACATGGACGCAGGTGACCTCATCACACAGCCACAACCCTTCATGCTCGCTGTTATACCTCCTGAACGATAGCTGCAGCTGCTCAGACAATGCCTCCACATTGCACTGGTACAAAAGGTGAAAGCGTCAAAACCAGAAGCAAAGAAATTGCTTTTTCCCCTGACATATCATTAAAATAGCTGTAGAAACCAACACAGTTGAACAATCGTGTCTTCCACTCTGTTCCAACGGCGCGGCACACCGGGTTTACAAAACTCGAGAGGTGCACAGCATCCAGTAATGGCGGCTTGTAAAAGCGGCTGTGATGTCAGTTTCATCTCAGCTTTGTCGTACAGTGCCGTTTGCATCAGTGATGCTCTACTGTAAAACAATTCAACAACTCCAAAAGTAGCCAAACATTCGAGAGCTTTGCCATGTTGTGTTATGTGATTACTTGCAGCCCGAGTTACAATATGTGCTTAAATGAATTCATTTGAACTTGAAGTTTTTCTCCTAATCATCCATCCTAATAGTTACAGCAACAAGTGAGTGAAGTGCTTTAAATGATACACCAAGAAGAAATGTTATTAGATTAGAAGTATTTAAATGTCAGTTTTTTCAAGTTATCCCAATTTTTAATGCTTAAAGCTTAACCGAGGACAACCCTGACTTGTGAAGTAAACAAGGATATAGACAGTGCTGTCTGTGGGCCCAGTTTGTAGGTGACTTGGGTGTTTTCCTCTAACAGAAGGAAGTATTAAAGAAGGATCAGTGAGTGTGATTGGTGGACAGATGGGAGGATTTGAATTCCCTTCTAGAGGAGTGAAGCTGAACTCATGAAGACGCCTGTTTAAAAGCCATTTCAATAAGAAGCTCAAGTTCCCAAGCACCCTTTCTCCTTTAATTTTTCTCAGCTGCCTCATGCTCGTGGCTATCCCTCTGCTTCATGTTGGTTTACATGTATCTTTATGAACTTCTCTGTGATCACAAGTACACAGCAGTGTTTTTGTCTTCAGCACTAGTGTACGTTTGCCGTCTCACTCTGGCTTTTATGGGCACAGACAGTCACGATTCTTGTTTATGTGTGAGCGTGTGTTTAGCAGGAATGTGGGTGGCGGCTTCAGAGCCTACTTTCAATTCTTACAGAAAGCATTTTCACAAAGCGGAAAAAGGGGACAGACGGAGGGAGACGCGAGCGAGAAAGAAAGGTGAGAAAGAAAAGAGGGAAGGTGAGAAAATGGTGAGCATAGGAGAGAGTGATGAAAATGAAGGAGATCCCTGAAGAAACTTTTGTTGAAATCACAGAAGAAAAGAAGAATTGGTGGTGGGGAGGGTGGGGGGAGTGGATGACAGCAGAGGAGAAAGGAATTGAGAGAGGGAGAAAAAGAGAAGGAGTGGGAGACAGAAACCAAGACTGACAGAAAGCTAATGAGCAGTGCGCCAGTGTGAGACGGATGAGAAGAAGGTAGCAAAGGAGAGGGAGAAGCTGAGGGGAGGGGAGGAAGAACAGTGCAGAACACTTTAATCTAAAGCCTGCTTTGAAAGAGATTCCCAAAGATTAATCGTGTTGAGTTAAAAAATAAAGAAATATACCAGAGAAAATTGGTGAATCATGTCACTTTACACCAGCGGACTGTTATTTCTCATCAGTATGAGAACAGATCGTATAAACACAAGGCTGAGTGTACAAAAGTTGAGGCAAAGTGCATATTTTGTTAATTATTTCAATAGTTTCTGTGTAACATCCAGAAAACTGGTCATGGACAGCCATCAGCCTCGTCGTGTGTGTGCTTGCACTTTGCGTGAGACCTAGCCCTGGCCAAACATTGATAAGCCAGACACAAGACTGTGCGACACGGAGTTATTAAATTCAGTTTTATTTACATTTTATCTACGAAATCACAGCAAAAGTTGCCTCATTGTGCTTTATATTGTAATTTAAAGACCCTACAGTAATACAAATAAAAATGGGACCTCCTTCGGGCAAGAGCTTTGGCGACAGTAGGAAGGAAAAACTCCTTTTTAACAGGAAGAAAACTCAGTGAGAAGGAGGCTCAGGGAGGAGTGGCCATCTGCCGTGACCAGTCAGGGGTGAGAGGAGTAAGTTTGGCGCTGTTAGCTCACTGGCCAGCTTAGATAAATTTTTAGCTACTCATCGTAGTAAATAGCTGGTTAGCCAATTCTGCTTCTTACTCAGTGTTGACACTGAGAAAGTCCTGTTTAAAGCATGTGCATGACTTCATATTTTTAGTAATTAATGCACTCAATTTCTAAGCAGTGCTATTTAGTTCTGCTTAGAGGTCCATTACACTCGCTGTATTGGTTGTTTCATGCAAACAGTGGCATCTCAACAGCTCTGTACTGTTCATACCAGGGATGAGTACTCGCT